GGGGGGTGCTGGCGAGGGGAGGATTCCAGCAGCTGCCTGGCCGAGGGAGGAAAAGCCAGAGGCAGTTTCGGACACAAACTCGAGGCTGTCTGACCAAGTCTGACCACGGCCCGCGCCCCCACCTGCAGCCTGGTGCTCTGGTCTGCGCCCCACACCCGTCCGCGCCCCCACCTGCAGCCTGGCGCTCTGGTCCGCGCCCCCACCTGCAGCGTGGTGCTCTGGTCCGAGAAGGGCGAGCTGAAGAAGGTCGTCACGATGCTCATGACGATCTCGGTCACGTACTTCTCCAGGATGGAGTCCGCGTGCTTCCGGTCGCTCGTGTTATTGCAGGCCTGCGGGCACCAAACACAGGCCGTGGTTAGAGGGGAAAGTAAGTGCCTGCAGGCTCCTGTCTTGCACTGATAAATTTAAAGTCAGGAAGAAAATACACATTCTAGGACTCTACAAACACCTTTTTTCTGGTTTTTAACATCACGACATTCCTAAGATTGGGATTCATCCATAATTACTCTCTGAAGAGCCTTGTTACCCCTCCCCACCCAGCTCCACCACCGGGAAAGGCACATTAAATGCACACAGTGTCCCGTGAGTCAGCAGCCTTGGACATTAAATGTAGAGGGTACATTAAATTCGGTGCAAAACCCAACCAGGAGAACTGACGCCCACCCGGCCGGCCGGCGGTCAGGAAAGCCACCGACGGAAAGTGAGGCTTTGCACACCCTCGACAGAAACGCTCGAGCTCAGGAAGGGGCTCGTCGAGGAGAGAGGTGTTGTCGAGGGCAAGGAAGCCTTATCAGTTGGGTTTAATGCCCCAGGTTATCGCTCATAAATCAGTCTACAGAGGAAGGAATAAAACCCAGAAAAGGCCGGTGGGTCTTCCCTGAGGCCCGACAAACAAGCCGGATCCTCAGCTAAGAGGTAAGGACAGATGAGACGCAGGAAGTCAGAGCCACGCCTGCCTCCTTGTGCCACGAACTGGTGGGTGGAAATGAGGCGGCCGCCCCCTGACGCCTGCACAGGGCTGCCCCACACGGACGCAGACACACACACACACAGGGACGGGTGCGCCAACTCCGCCGCCTCCGCTCCAGGAAGCCTCACCCTGCAGATGTCCACAAGGAAATTCTCGAACAGCTTCCACATGTGGTTGCTGGTGTAAATCTCCTTCATCTCCACCTCGGTGTCCACGTAGCAGTGGTTCAGGAAGTTGATGTAGGCGATTTTCACCTGGAAGGTAGGCGCGGGCTTCTGTGAGCAGCCCGCTCGGCGCACGGGGACAGTGGGGACGGCCCGCGGTGGCCCCTCCGCGTTCCCCGGCCGGCTTTCACTTCCTTGGCTTTTTGGTATTGAAGATTCACATTTATGAAAGTGAAAGACATAGAGCTTTGGGAAGAGAATAATTCCGTTAACCCTCACCTGAGGGTATTTTTTCCCACTGATTTGCAAAGGGGGGGGGGTTGGGGAGAAAAACATCGGCTGTCCACCTCCTACACACGCCCCAACCAGGGCCGGGGATCGAACCTGCAACCCAGGTATGTGCCCTTGACTGGGAATCGGACCCATGACCCCTCGCTGTGCGGGCGACGCTCTAACCACTGAGCCACACCGGCCAGGGCGATTCCTGAGTATTTCATAACCTGTTGTTCGTTATTTCTGCAATACGAGTGCTCGTTCCAGAAAATAAGTTCACAGGAAGGGGCCACGCCCACAGGCACCCTGGCTTAACCCGCTGCGCTCAACAGGCTGGGCTACTAGTCCCTTAGCACCCCAGGGACACAGAAGGAAGAACAGGCACCCCCCACACCCCTTTTCCACAAAAACCCACACTCGAGATCGCACAGGGAAAGGAGCTGCAGGTCCCCGAGCTGAGCGGTCCCGTCGGGCGGCCCCCGGCGCCCCCGCGAGGCCGCTCACCTCGGGGATGCAGTCCTCGTGGGTGACCACGCGGACGATGTCGTCCAGCGGGAGCAGCGAGTTGCACTTGATCTCGGTGTAGACGTTCTTGCCCTCGGTGCACACGGCCAGCAGCTCCACCAGGTGGATGTGGTACATGAGCGGGCTGCTCTCGTCCATGCGGTCCCGCTCCGACCGCATCATCTGGATCAGCGTCTGGAAGGACGCCCTGTCGTTGTAGAAGACGAGGACGTCCTCCCCGGAGTTCACCAGCTGCGGGGAGCACAGGGGCTGCGTCAGGGCCGCGGGGGCTGCCTCCCCCCCACCGCTCGCCCGCGCCAAGCCCGCCTCGCCGTCACCCCTTCACACACGGAAGGGCTGAGAACCAGCAGCAGCGTTTCACCCACAGGACCCTAAACGTCACCGGGACACCGTCGGGGACGGGGTGTCTGGGCGCCCGCGGCGCACCTCACGGCGGAAGCAGATCGAGACCTTGCGCTTGTATTTCCAGGCCGAGTGGTCAGGCTGTGATTTTTTTTCCTTTTAAAATGTTCCCATTTTCTTTTTATACTTTAAAAGCCTCCCTCTTACGACTCTCACACGCTGCGACATCGCTTCACAAATTACCCACTTCTAACTAAGACTCGCCTGCCTCCAACACTCCTCAAGGCGCTCACCTTCGGAACTAGTCCCCCGGCACCGCAGCTCCTTATGGACAGACCAACCTCAGCCCGCGTGAAACACCACGGCCCCAGAGGGAGGCACAGGGACCACAGGCATGGTCGAAGCTGCTCACACGGTAACAACCCACCCTCACGAGCAGCAATTACATGCCAGATACCGTGACAAACACCGCAGACGGGTCCCCAGCCTCCCTGTGCCTCAGTTCTGCCTGCAGGACGCAGGATGGTCCTGGTCCCTAACCCACAGTGCGCGTGACACTGACGCTCGCGTGGAAACTGCCTGGGACGGAAACCAGAGGAGCGCAGGCCTCCGGGAAATGCCACCAACTGTCTCCGTTCACCTGCCTGTTAGCTCCTCAGGTGACGGCTCCTGTACCTTTTGTTTTACAGAAACGCCTGCTGAGGGTCTGAGAGGTCAGGGGGCACATCCCTGGTCACAGGTGCAGCCGACTCTTAGTTACACCACATACCCTCTGCTGAAATCACACACAGGGCGTCCCCCCAAAATGCACACACACTTTAACAGCTGGGAGCTCACTTAATTTTCACTCCTTTCCAGGTTTAACTGATTTGAAATGAGGGGTGAAGCCAGACTAAGCTCTGAACAAAGACAATTCATCCTAAAGTGCCACTCGACTGTTTTTTATGGGGACACAGAAGAGAGAAAGTTTACTGTACAAAACCAGCAACAGTCGACAAACTGAGGCCCCACGAACACCAAACAAAATGACTGGCGAGTCCATTGCTTCGTGTTATCAGCAGGGCCTGGGCCAGACGGTCATCAGTTTGAAAACAAGAGTTGACCAAAAAAATTACCCGTTTCTGTAGATTCTTTTAAGTTTTGAAGATGAACTGTGTGTTAATCAACACCGACCTTAAAATCATGCAAAGTGTGTACACATTTTGGGGGAACACCCTGTATATAGATGGGATCATAAAGCCAAACAGGAGGTAGATGTACTTAAGTTTTCATTTTTAAAAAGGTGGAAAGATTACACGGAGCGTGTGTGAAAGCCCAAGTCGCGGGTGTGGCCGGGGCACTGCCTTCCCACAGAGAACCGGTGGGACTCGCCCCGATTCCCCAACCCGCCTCTTCTCCGGGATCATCCGGCAACACATTGTCTACACATAAGCCATCAGGTCACTAGCTAAAGAAAACGCTGAACACGCCACGGAAGGGAGTCTGTCCTGGCTCGCGGGGCCCTGTCCACATTTAATATCCACCCGCTGTGTTTTACTTCATCGCTCCGGGAGGGCTGTCAGAGACCCCGGGCCAAGCTTCCTTAAAATGAACAGACTGAGCGCGGGAAAAAATCAGGTGGGACTCCTGCCTGTGTCTGCAGTTTAAATTCCCAACATGAGACCACACACACACACACGCACACACACACTCACACATGCACTCGCTCACACACACACACACACACACTCTCCCACACGCACACACACTCTCTCACACACACACACGCACACTCACACACTCACTCACACACACACGCTCACACACATGCTCACACTCTCGCACACACACACACACTATTCCTCTTGTCCCTCACAGGCTCAGGAGGGGCGCCCGTTCCCAGCACAGGGTTAATAACTGTAAACTTTCTGCGGAGCAGGGGTGAGGCCTAGAGAAACCGCAGTCACCTCCGCCATGACCATGTCCTGGCACTTCTTGATGAACTTCCCCTCGGCCTTGACAATGGTCTGCAGGAACTTGATGTACTGCACGTTGCGGCCGTGGGTCTCGATGCAGTGCACGAAGTGCTGGACCACCCGCTCGTTGATCTCGCTGCACAGCTGGAAGTTGTTCATGAAGATGTGCTGCATCGTCACCGCCTCCAGGATCTGGCAGGGGACAGGGAGGGGTCAGCGGCAGAACAGGGCACACCGTGAGAGAAAGCAGGGCCCGCCCCAAACTCTGCTCTCCCCCCTCGCCTCCCGCGCTGCCTCCGCCGCAAACTCCCCATCACGTCCAGCGCACGCCCGGCGCTGAGCAAGTCGCGCTCGGCCACGTGGTTAGCAAGGGGGCACTGGCGCCCGGACGAGAAAGGAACCAGCCGTAAGGGAGGCCCGCCCCCCAACTTCGCCCCCATTCTGACTTCCACGACCGGCTCGTCTGGCCTGTTCCTGGCCCTCACGGGTCCCTTTCCACCCGGCGTCTTTGGATCCAAATCACACTTGCGACGCTGTCGTCCATGCTGCTGCGTGTCGGCAGCTTGTCCCTCGTCACTGCTGTGGCCGTTTCACTGAACAAACCCCAATGTACGTCTCTCTCCACTGTAACGGGCGCCTGGGGAAGCGTCCAGGCTCAGCGACGAGTCGCGACACTCGTCCCATCCAGACGCGAACAGCGCTGCTCCGGATGTTCCTGCGCGTCCCGGGAAACTGAACGCACTCGCTTCCGCTGGGTTATGCCCGACCGAGAGCGGACGAGCCGGGCGCGGAGTTGAAATGTTTGGCGTCAGGAGACACGTCCAAGCAGCTTTCAAGAGACGCCAGTGCTCAGGCTCCACCACGGCCGTTCCAGGTCCGTCCACGCCGAGCGCCGTCCGTCCTTTCCATTTCAGTCGTTCTTCGTCTGCACCTGGTCAGCCGCCCGCCGCGAGGACATCCTCCGTTACGGACGGTCTCGTTTTACAGGCTCTTACCCACCGTGAAAAGGGGGTTGTCCGATTTTTCCTCATTGACTTTTCTGAGCTTGTTACATATTCTGGACACAAATTCTTCACTGGACGGATGCACTGCCAATGCCGCCTCCCCTCCCGGCCTGCCCGTGGATGCCTTAATTGTCATTTAACAAACAGGCATTTTTAAAGCAGTCCAACTTACCTACATTTTTTTTTTCTGATTAGAACTTTTAGCAGACTGTGTAAAAAAAGGTCCCTTTCCACAAGGTCACGAAGACATTTCATCTTCTCTTCCAGAAGCTTTATTTTCTACTTTTTACCCAGTGTTACTGAGTAACAGTAACTGAGTGCTTTGTTACTGTTTCGTTGGGTAACTGAGTGCTTTGTTACTGTTTCGTTGGGTAACTGAGTGCTTTGTTACTGTTTCGTTGGGTAACTGAGTGCTTTGTTACTGTTTCGTTGGGTTACTGAGTGCTTTGTTACTGTTTCGTTGGGTTACTGAGTGTTTTGTTAGGGGTGGGGTGGGGGGCTTTAAACTTTTTACCTTTTGCCTTTTCTGTCTCTTAACACGACAAAGATGGAAAATCACCCTTCATCCAGCAGCCCTCTTCCTGCAAAGCTCTGGCAGTGCTAAGGGTGCACGTGTGCATGCGTGTGCGCCGTTCACAAAATCAAAAACTAGACATTGCCTAACCGTCCCCTAATCCGAGAGTGGCTTCTACAAAAACTTGCCGCCACCTCTGGGGTGCCACGTAGCCATCCACTCGAACGAGAGACACTCGCGTATTTCCCACCTATGAAGACGGCCACACTGTGTCACATGGGAAAGTGAGGTGCAAAACATGTACCGTGTCCCCGTTTTTCTTTAAAAACTGCAACATACGTACCTAACATATTTTAAAAACAGATACTTAGCAAACACTGTTACGTAGTTACGCTGCAGATGAATTATTCTGCGTTTCTATAAACACAGAGAACCTGTGCCTCACTCGGGATGGTGGAGAGAGGATCCACACCTCCCTGTTGCTGAGGGGCGATGTAACAAGGGTTATTATTGAAAAACATACAAATGTACCTCACCTTGGCCTTATCAACCTGTCCTCCTTCCCCTTCCCGCTCCCCGCAAAAGATGGGGAGCTTGTGCCAGTGAGAGTGGTCCCAGCGGCCAACAGCAAAGCACCAGCCGTCCCCGCCCGCCCCCCGCCCCTGCCCGCTCTGGCCGTCTCACCCCAGGGTTGAGAAACAGGTTGATGTGCTTGTGCAGCAGGGCCTGGTTCTGCTGGTTGCCCGCGCAGAAGTTCTGCAGAAACTCGTGCGCCAGCCGCATTATCTCCTGCATCTTGGTGTCCTCTGCCTGTGTGGGGCGGGACAGGAGGAAACATCAGGCTGCCCGGTGGACAAGGGAGGTCACCAGGAGAGAGCGCTCGTCTCGGGCCACGGGGGCAGGGCCCAGGCCGCGCCCAACACCTGCTCTCCAGGGCTCTAGACGTCGCTGGGACCCACTGCGTGAGAGCCCTGACCGCTGCCCTGCCCACCCCGGGAGGCAGCCAGCCACTGCCATCCTCTCCCACGAGCCTCGGGCAGAAGCAAAAGGTTTTACTGGGGAAAAAGCCAGTCCTGTGTGGACCCTGAGAGAAGGCCTCTGGGGTCCATTTCCAGATGTTGCCGGACCCTTGGAAAGACGGGTGGGGTCTGGGCCACGCGGGGTCTGGGGCATGGTCGGGGCCGGGGCCGGGGCCTGACCTTCTCATAGGGGATCTGCAGCAGCTCCAGCACCACAGCGTGCGCGCTCATGTTCCTGAGCAGCCGCTGCTGCTGCTTGCGGCTCTTGCGCAGGGACGCGCTCTCCTGCACGCACAGCTTGCTGAGCCGGATCAAGATCTGCAGAAAGGGTCGGCCAGCGTCTCAGTTCTGAGGGCCTGCGCGGTGGCCATGCTGATAACACCACGCTGCGCACCTGCGACTGGCTAGGACAGAGGCCTTACGCACCCTCACCCCCCACCACCCCCAAAAAGCTTATTGTGAGCGACATGGGCATCATTTCACAGTGTCTGTCTATCAAATCATCACCTTATCAAATCATCACATTGCAGATGTTAGGGACATTATAATTGTGTCAGTTCTGCCTCAATAAAGCTGGAAACAATTTTTTTTAAAGAAATTAACCTCAGAAAACTAGGAAACCTCAGAAGACTAGACTGCAGGGGGTGGAGAGCAGGGAAGCCAAAGGGATCACAAAACATTAAAAACCTAAAACGGGAAACTCTTCCACCATGAAGTACCCCTGCTGATGGCATCAAACAATCGACGTGGCTGCCCAAGTCCTTCCAGAATAACTAGGGGACAGCGGCTTCAGCAGCAGGTGGACGGCTTCAGAGAGCTCTGTCCAAATGCAGACATGTGGCATCACTGCCCACGGACATGCGAAGACCTTGGTCTGGGGTACTGACCACAGAGCTCCAACCGCCTGACTCCGACCCACCCCACACGCAGATTTCTAAAGAGCTACACTCTGGTGGACACTGCGCGCCAGGCGCCGAGATAAACCCGTGAGTTACAGCATCCGACCCTCATTCCACCGCAACCCGGCACAGGAGCACCTGGGACAGGTACGGAAACTGAACCCGTGCAAAGAGCAAGTGGCGGAGCTGGATTCAAACCCAGGTCTGACCCTACAACCCACGCACTGGACTTCGAGGTCTCCGTTCCCGGTTCAACTTCACATGGATAGAAAGTGACCTGCACCTTCACCGTGACCGCCGCACGCGCCGCTGCTCAGAGGACCGGGGGAGAGGGGCGCGGGCACTCACCTCCTTGACCACCCTGTAGTTGTAGCTGCTGGTGCTCTCGTGCTTCTGGGACTTGTTGTTCCCCTCCTAGGACCAAAGTGAGCGTGAGTGAGCTCTGCACCCCTCTGGGCACCTGTGCGTTGGCAGGTCCAGCACCCCCCTTACAAGAGCAGGAGGGCCGTGGGGTCTCCCCAGTCTCGCTGGGCTCCTGCCCATCACTTCCCGGCCCACATGGGCTCCTCTCTGATCCAGGCCGCTTTGCTGACGTGGGAGAGGGTGGTGGGCCAGGCAGGGCTGGAGGGCGGGCTCTGCCCCGTGAGTTTTTAAGGGAAACCTGGTCTACTGCACACGGCCCAAGGAGACCCAGGAGAAGGAGCTCAACTGCCGCTTATTTCCCAGGACAAGGGCTGTGCCCCTGGCTACTTAACAAGCTGATCCAACGAGAACAAAGCCCATCCCATAATCTGCATTTGTATCTAAACCAGAGCAGGAGGCGGACTTGTTCCGAGGAGCCCACCCACCTCCTCTGGGCACTACCCGAGTGGCACCTACCTCCGCCTTCTTATGTTCGTTTTCTCCAGACACACCGTCCATGGTCTCGTCAGGGCCCTGCCCCTTGTACACCCAGAGCTCGGACTTCTCCACGATGGACCTCAGCTGGTCCAAGTCCTGCTTGATTTGCTTGTAGTTGTCGACGTCTTGGCTGGTAACGAGCAGTTGAACCTAAACGAGTGCAACCCATTAGTGGCAACGATGGACCACACACATGCACCCATACACACGCACATGTGCACACACAGGACATACACATGCACACAACAGACCACACACAGAGACATACATGCATGCACACACGCACCCACGTGTGCAGGGTGCCCCACACTACCTGTTTGAAGGCCTGCAGGACCTCCTGCCTCTGGCTGAAGTGTCGGAAGAGCAGCTGCAGGGCCCCCGACACCAGGGGTGGGTAGTCATGCATCGTCAGGTGCAGCAGGACCCGGAGGAAGGTCCTGCCACCGTGGTCGTCCAGGTCCAGCGGGGTGTTCTCCTCACTGCAGGAGCCGGAGGGAAACGGCCCGGTGAACCACAAACGCCCTCCTCGCCCTCGGGCACCTGGGCCCGGACACCTCCCCTGCTTGGGTTTCCAGCACTGCAGTCCACCCCAGGGGATCTGATTTTTAATTAGCTCCTTTAACAAAATAGCCGTGTTTCACCTTCAGCTGTACTGTGAGTGTGAGGAAAAGCCGTCACGATGGTCAAATTTCAAACCAAGTCCCCGCCTTCCCATGGTGACAGGACTGGCTGTGCCACCAGGTTCCCGGCTCCCCAGCGAGGGGCCCCTGCCTCGTCCGTGGTGTGAGGACGGCACACAGCTGGGTCTCTCCTACGCTGCTAGGTCGTTTATTTAAGGTGCAGTAACTCAGTGCCTACCCAGCTACCCATGGTGAGTTCAAGTTTGTGGCCACTGACATCTCGGTCCCACCAACCCACTGACCAGGAACCTGGACGTCAAGGCAACGTTGTTGCCATGAAAGAGCCAAATGCCTCTCCTGTGCTCTGCACTCATCTCGGCACAAACCGGCGGCGAGCCGGTCAGCCCTGCAAACCCCACTGTGAGGAAGGGTCACTGCCCTCCACCATTCCAGTGCACTGCTCTTCAAACTGGGGTTAATCGGCACAGCGTCGGGCGTTATCACTATCTGTGTTATTTGAATAAACTATGAATAAGCGTGGCCTGGGTCACACGGCAGCCGCCACACCACTGGGCACCGCCACTCGGTGACTATGCCAGCACCCGCCCACGCTTACACCCAATGACAGCCGAGTGGCGAGACTGTCGTGGCTGCAGCAGCGAGAGCAGCTCAGGACTAATCACGTGACTATTCGTGCTACATGCTCCAGAAAGGTGAGAGGACGCATTCCCTGCTAGTTGGTCTCAGGAAAGTGACAGGAGAGCTGACACCACAGGGCACACACGTGTCATCATGCCAAACCCAGAACACTCTGCGTGGCAGATAAACATCATCGTCCATGTAGTAATATCACTAATTCAAGTTTCACGGGTTTTATATTTAGCATTAGAGACTCTGGCCCAACATATTCATGGAGATGGGGGGGGGG